GGCTGTGTTGTTCGGTTCTATTAGAGTCTGACCAGGCTTCTCTCTGTGGAGACAAAGAGGCTTAGAGCCAAGCAATCAATCCTGACACAGGATCTGTGCTTCAGTGACAACTAAGACGACCTGTAGTACTGTGATTGCCAGCAAGATGCCAACATTTTAAAACTGACCCAAGGAGAACAAACAAAGAAGTAGCTAATTCAGCAAAAATGATGATGATCATCGTAGTACTGTAGCAGGTCAACAGAAGCCCTTTCTTCATGTGGACAAAGATCAAGTTTACAGAAACATCTCTGCTATGGATGTGCCAGGCAGGCCCCTGTGAGCTCTGGGGAATCAGTGCCAACAGCTCAAATTACTGAAGGAGATGTTAGGTATTTCAGGACCTTCTCATATTATTTCAGATGTGGAAATAATAATCATGTGGCTTTATCCTAAATGCCTGGAGTCTCTGTGACTGCCTTGTAAGTGCGATACCAAAAACCTCTGTGACAACTAAGAAATGAAATCAAAGGACACATGGGGAAGAAGCAAAGTGATGTGTGTGAGTGGTTAACATGGTATTTTTTCTTTTCTCACAGCAGGAAAAACCTAGGCTTCTGGAGCCTTTGGATTATGAAACTGTTATTGAAGAACTTGAAAAGACCTATCGGAATGACCCTCTTCAGGACCTCTTATTCTTCCCTAGCGATGACTTCTCAGTAAGTCTCCTCAATTCAGGAGGGTACTATACATTGGGTCTCCCCTTTCCCCATAGATTCAGAGTTTCCTCTTCCTGTGGTCAACCTATATTGCATTGCTATAAGACCAGTCCTCATCTGGCCATAGAATGTACCTGAGGGCCTTCTCAAGATGGGAGAGTGGAGGCTCAGCCAGGGGCCAGGAGCAGCACAAGGTGCTACCTCCCTCCATCCAGTCCAGCTGCTACTCACTGCCTTCCCTGTATGTGCAGTGCTTTTTCTCCCTCTCATTTCTAAAAGCTCCCAAGCAACTGAAGCCAGCCAGTGGCAAAGACAGGAATATATTGACACAAAAGATGAAATTCTTAAAAAATCACTTTTCATCTTGTTTGGCCTTTAATAAGGAGTTGCTGGGGCTTAGAGGCAAAGCAAGGTAGGCAAGAACATCTTCAGAGAAGATGGTCTGAGACATGCCCCTTTAGGACATGCATAACTATGTACAGAATGCTCAAGAGGCTAACAGAGAGAATGAAAGAAAAAGAAAGTAATATTGGAGATAAACAGTAAATTATGGATGATGAGCACCCTTTTGTCCCAGACATTCAAAACTGATGTTTGTGGTTACTTTAAGCTTTTTAAAATTATTTCTAAAGATCTAAGTATGCAAAGATTCTCATGGGTGGTTGGTGATCTTTCCTTTATTTTCTAAAGGAAATTTCAGCATCTTAGAGCTGGTGCAGAAACAGCTCAAGGGTAACACTGCAAAACAGGTATTGTCTGTGGAAACCTCTGTCGGTGAGTGTAGACCTCAGTTCCCACACTTTACTCAAACTCAAAATTCAGTTGCATCTCTGACCTTTGGGGCAGATCTGGTTTCTTGCTTCTAAAGGGTTAATTTTTTCAGGTTCCTCCATGTATTCGTGAAAAAGAAAGTATATAGAAGTTAGCACTTCTGTTCCAAGTATGAAGAATAATGGAAGAAAGAAAGGAGATTTGCATATAAGAAAAAATGATTCTTCCAGTCTGTTTTTAAAATTTTTAAATGGCTTCCTCCTCATGTTGGCATTTTTTGAGAAAGTTATATCTCATGCAGAAATCTCAGTTCTGTGGTTGGATCAGGCTACTGGGGCTTGAACTGCAAACATAAAGTTGAACCACCCTTTTTTTTTCTTTAATTTCACATCCTCATTTTCGTTTTTCAGACTTAAGGTAGACCTACCAAAAAGCTTTTTTTCTGTAAAATAACACCGAAAATTGTGAAACTAGGGGCATCTTTTCAAGACTCCCAGCTGCAAAAGAGAACAGCCAAGTATAGATGGATGAAACATTTGCACTGAACTTGAATTCATTTTTGGCATCTTTCCACACTCATTCAAGTTAGGGATTGTCTCTGATTACTCTTTGACCTTTGCCACCCTTAATGGTGTAAACAGGATCTAATAACATACCTATTTTCCCAATGCAAACATTCCAATCAATATGCTGACCTATTTTATTCTGTGCCTGCTTAAACCTTTCTGTAACTCCCCATTGATTTCCAGAGCTTAGTGTAGCCCGTGACCTCTCAAGAACTAGACCTTGGTTCTTTCTCAGGGTCAGTCTTACCCATCAGCCCATGCCAGCCCGTCCTGCGTAGTCACTCTCACTCCACACTTGACTAAAATACTAACACAGCTCCAAAAACTGCCATTCTAGAGGCCACCTCTGATTCTTGTCTTCATTCATTCAACAAATATAAAATGTATAATACTGAATGTTGGCCATCATTCTAGGAATGCAAAAAAAAATTGCCTTGCCCTAGGAGAGCTTACCTTTTGGTGGGAGGAGTCAGGAAAATAAGTAAAAAGATTAATTAACAAGATAAAGTTCTAGAATAAACCAGGGCTGAGTGATGGAAACTGACTAGGAGAAAAGCTACATTGGACTGAGTGTGCCAAGGACAGCCCCTCTGATGAGGTGACAACTGAGCAGAGCCATATTCTCCAGGAGGACCCCCCATGCTAAACACTGGGAAGGACTGACTCAGGCTAAGGAAATGGCTGGTGTCATGGGCCAGAGAGTTCTCAGATGGAGGATCAAGATGGCTGGACATCTGAGAGTAGTCAGAAACAAGGTGGGGCAAGGAAAAGATCAGGCATTTATGTCTTACTCTAATGCAAGTGGCAAGCCACCAGAGTGTTTCAAGAAGGAGAACAAATGGCCTTGTGTGTATTATCAACAGATCATTTGGTCTGTGTGGGGAACATACAACAGGGCAGAGAGGAAGCCCTGAGTCCATCTGGGAGATTAGCTCCTCATCAGTAGATGCCCAAGAGAAGAGATATTTGATGCTACTCAATCCTTACTATCAAAAAAAGTCATATTCTACAATGGCTAAATTGTAATTTACATTAAGCAATTGAGAAACTAAGGAGAGAGTTGGAATACTTGCACAAAATTGCTATTTTTAATAATATTTAAATATAGTTCTCCTTCTTTCTTGCCCTACAAAGTACATTTTGGTAATCTGAGAACAGTAGGTAGCCCGCTGACTATTTTTGCATGTCTTGTCAGCTCAGAATCATCTTTATGTTTTTAAGTAATTGAATGAAAAAAAACAATATTTTGTTACATGTGAAAATAATCATGAAATTCACATATCCATAAACAGTGTTTTATTTGAATATGGATGCCCAGATATTTACCAGTTGTTAGTGGCTGCGTTCGTGATGTAAAGACTTTGCTGTGACAGGGTTACAGTGACTTTAGCAGAGACACACAGCCCTAAAAGATTTATTCTCTGACCTTTTTGCAGAAAAAGATGGCCCGTCCATGTTATGCAGTACAACTGCATTTATTTTGGAATTCTTCCCTCACCCTCTTTGTGAAGTGTAGCCACTTCTCTTAAGTTCCCTGTGGCATTACCTGCTCCATCCACAGCCTAGATTGCAAGTTTCCATGCTCCTGGCAAATGCATCATTTCCTGGACTTTTCCTTGAGCAAAGGGCAGGGATTCTCTGGAATTCGCTCTCCACTCAGCCAGTGGGAGGTGGCGACCGAATGACCATACAAACCCCGTGGCGTTGAATGCTGGGAGGGGAAAGTGCTTCCCAATCCCACATCCATCCAAACATCTCTCGTCGGATTTCTGCCTTGTGGATTGGAGACTCCAACTCACTTCTGCTTCCACGTTTCCAAGCACCCACACTTGCAGCGCCATGATTCATCACTCAGTTTGTTTAATCAATATTTATTCAGCACCCATGAGGTTCTGAATATGGAACAGCACTTCCTAGAAGAGAGGGGCTGACAGGAAAAGTAGGAGCTCCATGCTTTGGGAGCCTGTGCCCTACTATGGATGGAAGATAAAGTTGATGAAAAGCTATGCTTAAGAAATGCCAAGAAATGCATATGGCACATGTTATACCAAAAAGGAGATTATTCTTTTACCAAGGCACTATTCCGTACTTACACTTTGAGCACAGACATTAGAAGTGTGTTCCTGCTCCCTCTGCCAACCCCAGCTCCCCTCACTCTCTTCTGCCTAGTCTTACTGCTTTCTCTAAACCTTGCCTTACTTTGATGCATTCATACTCAGTACACAAAGGAACCTTAAGAAACACACATCAGATAATGTCATGCCTCTGCTTAAATCATCCCAGGGGCTCCCCATTGCCCTAGGAGTCAAATCCAGCTTCTGTGGTGGTCTCTGTTACCTGACTCCCTGATGAACTATGAGCCCTTCTTGCCTAGCAGTGCCCCTGGGGAGGAACAGAATACCTGGAATTCTTCCTGTTCTCTACCCTTGCCAAGCTCATCTGCCCTGTAAAATCTGTATACTCCCTACATGGCTGGGTCCACTCAGCCCAAATGGCACCTCTTCAAAGAAGCAATCCACATTCTGGCCTGCATAGCCCCACTTGCCCTGAGTTACTCCATCACATCACCAAGCTTGATTTTCTTTGTAGCGCTTGTGACTACTTTGAAGGTCTTTATTTGCTTGTCCATTCCTCTGTTACTTGTTTCTCACCACGAGATTGTAACTTCAGCAGGACAGGGACATTTGTCTTGACCATTGTGAGATGTGGAGTAACTAACTCTAACCCCATCCCTAACCTTAACCATAACCATCATCTTTGCAGCAGCCCTTGTCTTGGAGCAGGCAGAAAATTCATATTTTTTTTCATGAATTGCCTTTCATAAACATAGGTCATTATTTTCAAACATAACTTTGATTCTTTGAGTATCTTGAGGATCAAAAAGTCATTCCAAAATAACACTCTTGAAAATGAAGAGAATAAAGTAATTGATGAGAAAACGATTGTTAATGTTACTCACCTCTTGACACAATTCAACACTGCATCTTAAAAATCAGCTCTGAGACCACTGTGATCCCCTCTTCCATCTCCTATGTGCACTGTTCCTGCACATAGCTGACAGCAGCTTCCTGGTTCTGCACTTCAGTGTACTTGCTCACTTGCTATCTGTTCACTTGCTTTCTGAACTAGGCAAGGAAGAAATCAATTCATGTCTATACAACAAGGACCCAATGCACTGTCTGGTTCCTGGGTATTCAGTGGAGATTGTTGAATATTGTGTTACAATATTCTTTAGGTTAAGTGGATGAAGTAGAAACATTTTTCCTTTGTCTTGGCACACTGGGTAGAAGTTCTTGTGGCATGTGCACTCTGGGATCAGGCAGTATGAACTTGCACCACCTCCATCATAATGATTCTCTAGAAATAAGCAGTACATATGCATTTGTTAATCCATTCAGTAATACTTCAGTCATTGTAGTTGTTACGCTTGTCCCTCTCATCTTTCTTTTTGAGTAGGTGGTAATAGAAACTTAGACCAAAAAAAAAAAAAAAAAAAGCACTTAGCACTTAGTCATCAAAGTGTGACTCAGTGAAGTTGTTGAGGAGAGTAAGGAATTCAAGAGCTAAAGCAGAGTTTCAAGGACACAGTGAATCATGTTGTTGAATGATTCAGTTTAAGGAGATACTGATACAAAATAGCACCACAATGAGAAAGCCAGAAATGCATTTCTTTCTTTCTTTTTTTGGTACTGAGGATTGAACTCAGGGGCATTTAACCACTGAGCCACCTCCCCAGCCCTTTTTTATATTTTATTTAGAGATAGGGTCTTGCTGAATTGCATTACTTGCTGAGCGAAAGATGCAGAAAGTCAGCGTTATCGAATCATTTCTGGGACATACAAAACCATAAATAAGAAAAATCAGAGGTTTGAAAGCTGGGACTATTGCACACGTGTACTGTTTTTCAGTACCTTCCATACGATAAAACTCCTGTCTTTCGACTAAGCTTCATGGGCCCCCTTAGGTGAGCTAAGTGAATATATCAGGAACAACAATATGAACAAGAATAGGGCTTATATTTGGACAGTTGAAGTTGTAACACTGGACAGTGCCATTTTCTATGCCACTTGATTGGAATAAGCTATCAAGAGAGTTACAGTATCTCCTCAAAACTCACCTTCACATCAGGAGTCCAGATTCAGGGCTCTAGGGCTCCCCAATGGATCCTGCAATTGTCATTTGCTTACTACTAAAACTGAATGAATAACAGATTTCATAATATACCAATGGCTTGCTCTTCTCATGGTATATTTTTAGCTATAAAAAGCGACTGATATTTGGGGACTTCCAGATTTAACCACATGGGTCATTCTAGGAGAGGAAACAGAAAGACATTAATATGTTTTAAATTGCAAAGCAGAAAGGTCATGAGTTTTCATTGTTTTCTTCTGAGACACACTTAACATTTTATAGGAATCTCAACTTCTTTTTAATCTGTGGCTTCTAGGCCTGAAGCGTGTTTTAAATGGTTCATAATGTTCCTGCAAGAACACTTTAATTGCAATTTGAAAGCTAAGTAATAGTCTCTGTTGAATTAGATTCCAAGTTATAATATTCCTCTCATTTACAAGCTAATAAAGCTAAAATTAGGGAGGACTCTCAACCAAAGATATAGAGCAACTTTGAGGACAGAAATCAAACATAAGCACCTGGACTTTTGACTTTCTTTTCTGTCTAAACAGTATGCTTTCAGCTTCATAGAAAAATAAGGTGCCCAACTTGAGGGAAATATTAACTCCCTGAAGCCCACAGTGAAGATCATTAGAAAATTACTAGTATAGGTAAGCAATTTTAGCTGTTAACTTTATTTCAGTGAGAATATGCAGACACTCTGCCCTGTGTTTGATTGTCCTAGGAACGTACATCCACAGAAAGCCTTGTACATGAATATTCAGAGACTCAGAGCCCCAAATGGAAACAGCCCAAATGTCCATCAACTGATGAATGGATAAACATAATGTGGCATATCCATACAAGGGAATAATATTATTCCTCCATCATCAAGAATGAAATACTTATACATGTTACTACTTGTAGGAACCTTCAATGCATTATGCTAAGTAAAGGAATCCAGTTAACAAAAGACTACATATGTTATGATTCCTTATGTATAAAATTTACAGAACAGACAAATCTATAGAGACAGAAAGCAGATTAGTGGTTTCCAGGGAATAGGAAAAGGGAAGTCATAGAGCAAACTGCTGGTGGAATATGAGGATTCTTTGGGGAGTGGTAAAAATGGGCCTGAGGTTGTGGCTCGGTGGTGGAGCACTTGCCTGGCATGTGTGAGGCCCTGGGTTCGATCCCCAGCACCACATATAAATAATTAAATAAATAAATATGCAAACAGATAAATAAAATAAAGGTCCATTGACAACTAAAAAATTAAATAGTGAAGATGTTTGTACAATTCTGAATATACTCAAAACTACTAAATTCTACAATGTAAAAGGGTGAATTTTATGGCATCTATCAATTACATCTCAACAATGCTCTTATTTAAAAATGAATCTAAAGTTGGTCTCTAGACTTCACATATGATGTAAGTAATAAATGATAGAGTTCAAAGAAGAGAAATGTGTGTGGGATGAGCTATATGAAAATAAGATACTAGGGCCTGGGTTGTGGCTCAGTGGTAGAGCAAACAGGTTTCTTCATAGGGCCCTCCTGAGCAGTGAGCTCAGACTGCAGCCTTTGAGTCCTGGCCAAGAGACCCTCCTGCTACAATGCATATCTTTATGTTATTGGGTACTTTGCTCCTGCTAACGCTCACATTGTTTCATATGTAGAATGTAAGATTATTATGTGTCAATCAAAATCAAATTTGTTTAAGGAGATGAAAATGTGAATTACCCTGATTTGATCACTACGCACTGTGTATATGTATCAAATTATCACATTATAATCCATAACTCTGTTAAATTAAAACAATAATTAATTTTTTTTCAAATAAAGAATGTTTTTGTACTTACCCCCTTAGAGGTGGTGAGGCACATTTGGAAACCTAGAAAATAAGTCACACAAAAAAATCTGACAAGAATCATTTAGTAATTGGTCAGTACAAGAGTGTAACTCCTTGAACCTCTTCCTTACTCACATACTTAAATACTGTGATGCTATACTAGATGTCAACCAGAGTTTTTATTAAAAAAAAAAAAGTCCTCATTTTTGACTTGGCTGGATCATGACAATGACAATTATTCAGCATGTATAATTGCTTGTCAGTTGTGCATTTTCCATAGTTTTCAGCAAAACAAGAGTGGCCTTCCCTGTAAAGCACAGTGAAGGTACTGAAGAGACTTTCTCATTTATTTAAAAATAAGTAAGATAAAATCACATTAACACTTTTCTAAATGTGGCCAAAAAAATGTTATTTAAGCAATTATTATAGGTGTCTTCTCTAATAGAATAAAAGGCAATATCAGTGTCAGTAATCACATAAATTTGGATGAAGTTCACTTTTAAAACACTTGCTTAGGCCAGAATTCATCATGAACTAGGAGTTAATAGTTTTCGTTGAGAAGCTGTTGACTTCTCTTGTTAGGATTGATGGATTGCCGTGAACACATCATTTCTGTCCTCCTTTGTGAGCAGCTGGAACCTGCATTAATGTCAGAGGAAGCTTTCTCAGCCCCAGGATAGGAAAAGCAGCCTGTTGTAATCTTTGACAGTGGCCTTTGGCCAACGGAGAAATATCTCCTCTGTGCCTGGAATGAAGTCTTCCCTGGTCACTTTAGCCAGCAGAATGGATGGTGGCTGCGACAAAACCACAAGGACTACCCACAGGCGGGTAGAAGGAACCGGGAAGTGACAGGGCTGCAGTTGAAGGGGTCTGAGCCTCCTGGACGTGACATTGCAAACACCAGCCTGCATGCATCCTTTCACGAGCCTTTTTATTTCCAGACTCCTGATCTGCGGACAATTAGCTCCTTATGAAACTCTTACCACCAGGACGGGAGCTCGGCTGAGAGCCAGTGCAGCCTCAGATCTGTTTTATGCTCTTGAACTATGCTAATTGTCGACCAGAGGTTTTATAAAAAAGAACAGGAAGTCTGTTGTGGCCAAGGCATTTTGTAGTTGTCCGAAAACATCTATTTCTCAGAAAAGAAATTCTTTGTAACCATATTAATACCCTTAACAAATATGATCTTTATACTTCTTATTTGATCAATTCATTTTTGCTTCAGTAAAAAGACATTAAAGAAATCTAAAATAAGTGCAACACTGCCACTGTTTTTAAAGCTGAAATGTGATGGAGGTCTTTTGCTTTTTCGGTCAAATGCTCCAGTATAAACAAACTACAAGTGAAATCAGTGGCATATTCTAGGCATATACCTTTTGCAAGCCTTATGTACTTGGAATAAGGTATTAAATTACAGCAAGTGCTTAGATATTATAAATTAAGATTTCCAATTTATCACATGATTTTTTTGAGAATGTTTAAGCTACAGTTGTAAAACAACATTTTATGACTGACATCATCAGGAATCACTCAAGGCATGATGAGGCAGTTTTTGTAACTCCACCTGCGTGAATTTCCAGTCTTTTATGTTGTGCCTGAGCACTAACGTAGGCATGAGGGCCTGTCTTTGCTCTATGACATCACTAACCCAGTAGCCATATGCCTACTGTTCCCAGAAGCCTGAGCCCACTCTTCTGAAACTTATTTTAAAAAAGAAAGTAACTTAATTCAGTAAGTATTCACTATATCTCACTAAGCCACAGAGCTGTGATCTTGGGACAACAGGTTTACAGTTTTACTATAAGCTTAATGTGGAGTCCTGTTTCTCTACTCTCCGTCTGATGGATTTACAGTAAGAATGCAGTGGAGTGACGTCGGGGGAAAATGAGAACGAGGAACGCTTGGCACTTTGTTTTGTATAAAAATTTTTATCACAATCACTATAATATAGAAAAATTTTCAATTAGAAAAAAAAGAATCTCTAATATTTCCAGTAGATTAGATTGTCAAATGTAACGTTCTCTGGACAACAAGCAAGTGACAAACCATATGTGTGAATTACCTGTCTAAATAAGAAACAAAATCATCCCCAGATAATTGAAATTCAGCAATAATCCCCAAAGCTCAGTTTAACCAGGGCTCTTAATCTTTTCCAAACTTTCAAAGAAGTTTATTTACTATTTATCTCCTATCAGATTGAAGAATATAAAAGAGAAAATTCAAAATAAATTCAAAATGTGAACTCTGAATAATAAGTCAGTTGACGCTATCACACTCCACCTGGGAAACAACCACACCCTGATTTGTCCTCATATATCTGCTGGTTCTCTGTGTCTAGAATAGTTTGGATTGGTTGCCACAGCCCTTTCAAACTACCCATACAGTGGCCCAGGGATTCCGTCTACGGCTGTTTTAATATGAGTGCTTATTGGGATGGGCGTGGTGGCACACACCTGTAATCCTAGCCGCTGGGGAAGCTGAGGCAGGAAGATCAGGAGTTCAATGCCAGCTTCAGCAACATAGCGAGGCCCTAAGCAGCTCAGCAAGACCTTTTCTAAATAAATGTTTAAAAACAAGGGCCAGGGATGTGACTAAGTGGTTGAGTGCCCCTGGGTTCCGAAAAAAGGGGGAAAAAAATGATGAGTAGTTAATTTTACTCTATGATATATCTGGAACACAGTTTTCCCATTATTTTTTGTCCATTCATCTTGTTAGATTCACATGACTTTGTTCCTCTTTCACAATGTCAGAACCCATGCTTTCCTAAAATGCATATGCATGCACACACACACGCATTGCACACAATCACGCATAAAAACACATAAGCTAACATGCTCACATTCTACACAAATGCACACTACATAAATTTACACCACCACACATGTACACATTCAAATAAAATACACCCTCATGCACAATCACACTCTCACACTCTCATACATATGCAGACACAACCACACGCTATACTCAGGCACACATACTCCACACAGACATGGAGTACACTCATGGGCTCACACACACTCACACATCTCACACTGAACATAAATATATATATATTCACATGTTCAATAAAGTCAGCAAATAATCATTTAAGCACCAAACTTGACACTTAAGTTATAACAGTGAACGAAACAGACAGAATTTCTTGCCTGCATGCCCAGGAATGAAGAAAAGGGGAATTTGAAGAAAATATGAGTCTGGAATTGGTTAAAAAAAAAAAGGAGTGCTAGGAACAATGCTGTCTTTGGTGGCAGAGTTTTCTGCAGTGTGTGTGTGAAATCAGAAGACTAACCCCATGGGACCCCTGTTCTTAACTGTGTCCATAACTAAGCATGAATTTGAAATCTTATCTGCATCAACAATCAGTCCAGAATAATGCCCCTCATCTGGACTGGTCTCAGTGAACTTTAGTTAGTGCTTTAGAAACCCTGATGGCTCTCTGTGATTTGGGGAATATGCTGTTTGTACTGTGGATGTTCATAGGCACATTCTCTCAGCCTCTGTTTAACCACCAAGGTGCCCAGACTACAGGAGGCTGGTGGCTAGGGATGCAAAACTTCTGTTTTAGGGCAAACCCTACTCCTCCCCTGCTTGAGTACACTTAAATAGGAAACAGCCCATACATTTCCATTTTTGGTGTTTTAAGAAGTACTTCATATATCAAATCATGTTTATCCACTTAATAGGATATTATTTCTGTAGAAAGAAAAAAAATATTGTGCTAATTTAAACAAAAATAAAGACAACAAAAACATGGTGTATTTTCTTCAAGGTTCAGATTTTCTGAACATTTACCCTCTTCCACCCAACTATGGCTGTGAGCATACTTAAGCACACACACACATGCACACACATGGTTCCTGAAAGGGCCACATTTGCCTTGTTGATATTTAAGAGATTATTTAAAGTAGCATTAAATAGCAATAGCTTGGTAAGTTTTTACCTTTATTAATCTTAACATGAACAACAATGATGATGAAAAATAAAAGATTATGATAAAATTAAGCTAAAGTAGAAATATGCAATGTCCCAAGTTTTTGTTTTCTGTAGGAAGGGAGAAAGAGCTTAAAATGATGAGTTTCAGTGAAGGAGCAGTGAAACGGATCTGATTCGTTAATCCCTGTGGCAATGCATAGTGACAATGAATGGGATGCTTGGACCTTCTTTCATAGTGAGGAAGTTGGAACAACCACACAAGTCTCTCTGTCTTGTTATCTCTACACTAAGCTCTAGAACAACATCCCTTGGGGGTTTCAATGTAGTGATCCTCTTGGTACCTTTGAAGATGAGGGTTTCATTTCTTCTCATTTTTCCTCTCAGGCAGCCACAGTCTCTTGGGATATCCGAACATTATATTCAACAGTACCCGAAGATGCAGAGCACAAAGCAGAAAATTTGCTGGTGAAAGAGGTAAATGTGACGCTTCTGGTCTGTTATTTTACAAAATTTTTGCCTTCCCCCAGGGAATACTGAATGCAATTTACTGTTAAGTACCTACCATCTCCCACTTCTCTTCAATGAACAACTACACATGCTCCCCGCAGCCTTTCAGCTGTCACCTAGCAGGAATTTCCCATCTTCCTGTTATCCATGTCTCATTATCAGGTGACTGTTAAAGTTTCAGATTTTCTTTTCCTTCTTTCCCCCCCCCCTTTAGTCGAAATCTCCATGTTGAGAAGTATTTGAGTACATGTAATAGAAAGATTTCACTTTCATTTATTTGCAGTGCATAGTAGGAAAGACCATACTACATGAGAATTTTGGATAATAGAGTTTCTATTTTAAGGGATATTTTTCTTTTGAGTACTAGCCATGGAAATAGTTATGCTTAACTATTTCCACTAATAGAAATAGCATTAAGGGGATATTGATTGAGCATCTCCTTATATTTAATTGAAATATAAGAGGCCTACAAATTGGTTTCTTCATCTTGTTCCCAGACTCCAGGCCACGTTAGGGCAGGGATTGAGTCAGGACACAGCAGTTTTTAGAAGACATTTATTGAATGAAAGAATAAATGAAGCCAGTCCTAGTCCTCCTTTTTTAGAAAAGGCAGGATGTAGGGAAAAGGGTACTCTTGTACATTGTTGTGGGGACTGCAAATTGGTGCGGCCAATTTGGAAAGCAGTATGTAGATTCCTGGGAAAGCTGGGAATGGAACCACCATTTGACCCAGCTGTTGCCTTTCTCAGACTATTCCCTGAAGACCTTAAAAGAGCGTACTACAGGGATACTGCCACATCGATGTTCATAGCAGCACAATTCACAATAGCTAGACTGT